CCGATAGATCTCAAACCGCACAGTGGAACGAAACGGGCCGGTAGTGGACTTAGCATTTGAAAAAAAAATGTTTCTTTTTTTAAATTTTTTATCATTGTGTTGGATTTTTCTATTGATTATAAGAAACTATTACAAATGACGAATTTTCAGATAAGTTAGTATTTTCGGAGTTATTAATTTTCTAAGTTAATTTTGTATGGAACAAAACAAAAAACAGTGAAAATCTCGTAATTCTCAAATTTTCTCATGGAATTGACTTTACATGAGCATAACACGTATATTTGTCCTATTTTTACGCGTACTCTCGAGTCTCGATTTTCCCCGATTTGGTCGCAATTTCAACATTTGTTCTCGATTCCTCACCACCCTAAGTGGTATCCCCCCTTAGGCCTTAAAGCCTAACATAATAAGTAAAACAAATTAAAAAAAATACAAACTAGCTGTTTTAATTTAATCAGTGTCCAGGATATCAACATTAGCTATTTCAACATTTTCCTGATCGTCATCATCAAAGGTCTCTGCTCGTTCAATGATCAAACTTTGTGCTTCTTTTGACAAGGTTTTATATTTTCTGCCAAATTTGTGTCGTTTCGTTGAAATGAGTGCATCAGAGCTGGTCAATAAATTGTTTAAAATATCTTCATTTGTAGCTTTTCTGCTGCATTTTCTATAATTGTGTTGGCGGTACCTACGAAAATATTTCTAGCTTCAGCAGCTTCTTCAGATAGCTGTCCAATTGGTAGTAGACTAAAACTTTCAATTTTAGCTGCACCATGCATTAGAACTTTATGAACACTTGAAGGCATATAATACCAACTATATAAGTCTAAATACGTAGTTGGTCCCAAAGTTCTGTCACTAGCACATTATTTCTACATTTCGAGCAGGATTTTATAAAAAAAATTATTGCATTCTATTTTGGAATGTTTGATTATTGTTTTAAAACAAAAAACAATAACTTTCCGTAATTTTTCACGATGGAGTGGACATTGAAAGTAAACCGAATAGTTGTTATTGCGTTGCACCGCTGTGGACACTCGCCGAGTACCATTTTCAAGTTGCTCAAAAATTTGAATATAACGCTTAGGTTTGTGTACGGTACTATTGATAGGTACCTTGAAGTCTCCAGTGTTGAGGACAAGAAAAGAACTGGCTGGCCACGCTCCGCAAGAACACCAGCAGTAATCAAAGCTATCAAGGCGCGGATAGTAAGAAATCCTGTCCGAAAACAGAAGTTGATGGATTTGCAGATGGGTGTCAGTAGGAAAACAGTAAAAAAGGTTTTAAATGAAGATCTTGGTCTACGAGCATACAAAAAAAGAGTGGGCACTTACTTAATGCTCGTCTAAAAGCAATAAGGCTTAAGAGATCGCGGGTGTTGTTTAAGCGGTACGCGAAAAACCGACACCGTGATATCCCTCTTTACGGACGAAAAATTTTTCGATATTGAAGAGAAGTACAATAAACAGAATTATACAGTGTACGCTAGGAGTTCTGAAGAAGCTGAAAATAAAGTTCCATGGGTGCAACATGGACATCATCCATCATCAGTAATGGTTTGGTTGGGAGTGTCCTATTACGGGCTAACTGAGGTTAATTTTTTCGAAAAGGGGGTCAAAACCAGTGCTACAGTGTACCAAGAGACGGTTTTGTATCGCCTTGTCAAAGACATGTCCAGCACCCTATTTGCGGGACATCACTTCGTGTTCCAGCAGGACTCTGCGTCTGCATACAAAGCCAAGACCACTAAAGCCTGGTTTGAGCGTCAAAACATCGTCTTAATTAGACATGAGGATTGGCCTTCCTCCAGTCCGGACCTTAATCCTTTGGACCAGAAATTATGACAGGGCTTAGAGAGGAAGGTCTGTGATAAACCTCATGAAAATTTGGAGAATCTGAAGTCATCTTTAAAAAAACCAGTGACTGAAATCGACACGAATATGGTGCGTGCTGCGATAGACGACTGGCCGCGACGCTTAAGGGCCTGTATTAAAAATGAGGGAGGTTATTTCGAATATTTTTATGCTTTTTTTATTCCTTAATTAATGTACTAAGAATTGATATATCACTCATTACAAACTGATCAGTACTTTTGTTTTTATCATTATTTCCATTTATGACAGAACTTTGGGACCGACTACGTACAGTTGCATGGTGGCTTGAGCATATTCATGAAATTTGACTACATCAATCATCAACAATGGTAGCCCGATGAAATTGCGTCTAAAATGATTGCAAACCGCCTTATTAAGTTCTCGCTAACACATCTCAGCAGTAATGTTTGGATTTGCAAAAAATCTTCCAGCGGTATTTCCATCATTGGTGGAGCCATGACCTTGTTTGACAACATCAATCAGAAGACCCATTCTATTTTTAAAAGCATCCTGTATGTTTTCTTTTTGCTTTCCAGGATACACTTGGTGTCTCCCTTCACAGCCCATGTCTTTAGCGTTAATCTGTAAGCTATATGCAAAATGCATTCCATCATTCGTATCCATATGTGCAATGATGACAATCCGTATCTACAATCAGTCTGTTTTGACGCAATTAAGGATAAATTATTCATCTCACTTGGAGTGGCTTTACAAATGTCGCACCTTTGAGATGAAAAGTCACATAAAATTGATGTTGCTTTTCCGTCTATCATTGTCATTAATAAAGAGTGTGAAATATTTATTTCCCCGACTTCTGTAACCACTAAATCAGCAATTTCTTGCTCAATTGCACTTTTTTCCTGCAATATGGTTATTTGGTTTTCTTTCACAAATTCGAAAAAGATTGGACGACACCATTATGATGAATTCGGGGAATCATTTTGCCAGATAATTTGTTCGTCGCAAACCAATCTGATTGGTACTAAGCTTCCCATGAATATGCTTGAATCATCAAATTGACTTTCTGAAGTGTCGTCGTCTGTTTGGATTGTTTGCTTGTAATTGGCTTGATTAGAAGCACCATCAAATTCCCACTTACTGATAAGTGTTAGTTCCTTATACTTACTGTCGATGATGAGTGGCAGCATTATTCTTCTTGTCGTTATATCCAGTAGAGCTTGTAACTTTATTCTGGCTGAGATTTCTGTCACTTTGATAGCGTCTTTTGATGGATAGCATTCCATTTTCGCATGTTGCACTTGATAATACGATGGAAATATATTGTTGTCTTTTTCGTTAACACTTTTTCTTAATGTATTGTATTGCCACTTGGTCAATTTAAGTGATAAATATAACCCCAACGCCTCATCCGGAGAAAACGCAGGTTTTGTTTCTTTGACAGATATACACCTTTTAACTTTTTGCACATCTTGTCGATTCTTTAATAAATGTTCTAGTATTTCTGCAATATCCTCATTCCCATCTGCTTTTAATTGCGCAAAATATGCATACGTAATCTCATCCGAAGACAAATGAAAGCTTTTGGCTCGTCTTTTTTTCTGTCTGTCTGTTTTGTTGCGCTCTTATCACTTGATTTTCAGAAAAAAAAGTATCAAAAGAAATGACGTCATAGGGTGGTGATGACAAACAAATGACGTCATAGGGTGGTCCGTGATGAAAAATGTCAAATATTGATTACACATTTTTAGAGATCTTTTACAAGTATGCATTATCCCAATACATACTTGCTTTAGTCAATTTATTATACATAATATGTAAGTTTCTTTTATTATAGATTGCTAAATTAAAAAGTAATGACTTCATACAAATTTGAAATTGCTATATCTCCGAAACTACTAGTTAATTACAAAAAAATCAAAGAATAAAAACGTTCACGTTCAAAATTTCCTTTAGAAATCCGTTTCTTTTTTATTTTCACGTGAATGTTTTAGACGCGTTTCCGCAGCAAAACTCACTTGGAGGTGTTCCAATGAAGGTACCTACCCCGAGACTCCTAAATAATTAGTATCGTCAAAAAAGTGCGGTGGTATTCAACACCCAACCCAAATATAGAAAAAGGCTAGAAATGCATCCTAATAAGCTTGCCACGCAACTAACCATACCGGACCTAATAAATAGGCTTAAAAGGCGACAAATCCTAAGTCTTGATAGTCACGGTTGAAAGAGAGGAGCAGTCTCGATGGAGATTTTGCTTTGAACGCCTAACAGCTATCAACACATCTGCTCATAGTCTAGCTGACTGATTGCAAGATAAATACTTATATTAAAAAAAAATCTTTAAAGATCGCAATCGACTAAGCGCTCGCGCTCGGACCTACAGCGAACTTTCAATGTGTCTAGCAAGGTGTAAAAACCATTAAAACTGTACGGCTATTGAGGTAACATTTTTTCATAGGCCCCCAAGTAACATATATAAAATTTAGCTTTTATACCCTGACGAAAGTATAATTATAATTTATCAAAGTTTAGGGGTGTCTGGCAGGGGGTAGCAATTGTCATAAGTGTCGCAATGGATGACGAGATTTATAAAGTTATCCCTAATAAAATATAAAAAAATTGAGCTTTATACTTTAACGAATAACGAATAACGAAGGTCTGGCCGTCGTGGGTTCTTGCTTAAATATAATGGAATCTTAGGTAATATTATAGACAAATCATGTTTTTATCGTATTGTACCGAAAATCAGTTTTGTTTTGTAAAGACACGTTTTTGTTATATACTATATGGCGATACAGCATCTGTGGATGTATGTTAAAATTATTTTTTAAACATTCATTCATTTTAGGTAGTTATATAACTATTACAATTGAGATACATAAAACAACATCAATAATAAATAATTAAAGGATAATCTAATAATATCCAAATAGTGCCGTTGGTATTATTTTAACGTTCAAATCTAAGTTGTATCTATTCTGTGCGGCGTATGACGCTTTCAAAGCTAGCTGGTAATCTGTGCCATACATATTTCATTACTTAGTACTTACGTAGAACGGAGAACCTCGACAGTAGATAGTCGGATTACTTGTAAATATTTTGATCCTTGAACTTGATGAAGATTAAATTTCAAGAAATAACCTAAAATTAATAAGCTTTTAATTAAATATGTTTGTTTTGTGTGAAATGAAAGATGTTATACGTGTTACTCCTGATCACTTTCATCAAAGTTTAACAGAATCTATATCCACATTACTAAATAGAAAATTAGCTAATAAGGTAACACAGGTTTCTTCGTCTATAGCTTTTATTTTAGTAATGAATAATACAAATTTAGTAAAAGATTTATGACAAAAAAAAAAAGATAAATACAGAATACAGTGTTTGTCCATTGGTTAAGCATGTGACTTTCAATCTTGGGACTGTGCATTCAAATTCCAGCAGTTTTTTTCTGTGTGAATGATTTAATTCTCCTATGTGGAGATTTAAATCATTACATTGAAGAAATCTGCATGTCTTAGACCCATAAAGGCCTACTACCTTCTTGCTTTTAAATGCAAAATGATCAAATTAACAGATGTTACAATTAAAGAATATTATACGGTATTTTTGATTATTGACCAATGTGATGATTCTTTAAATAGTGATAAAATGTTGACTGAGAACTGAAATATTTTAACATAGTTTTTAATCAAAAATATTTGCTGTTACATTAAAAATTTGAAATTATCTTTAGATTGCAATTTTAATGTCATTATATTTTTTAGGTAGTTTTGAAAATAGGTTTATGTATTGCTTTATTTGATATAACAGACATAGGACACTCTTTTATATTTCCGGGTGATGGTTCATCACATACAGAAGTCAAATTCAGATACATAGTTTTTAGGCCAATTGTTGAAGAAATACTAATTGGAAAAATAAGAAGTTGCAGCAGGGAAGGTGTCCATGGTGTGTAAGTTAAACATTATTGACTATCTATAACAAATCATGACACAAATTTTCTGACAGTGTCCTGAAAATTTGTTGTCTTTTTTTAATTAGTGTGTACACAAGAAAATATTTAATTTCACCACAACTCTGTTAAATATATTTAGAATGTAGAGCTTATGAGATGCATTGGGCCAATGCAACCAACAGAATCAAATAACTAAATGAATAAGTATTTATTATATTTCAGTAACTATGGGATTCTTTGATGATATTCTAATACCAGTCAATGCACTTCAACACCCATCACGGTTTGATGAAACAGACCAAGCTTGGGTTTGGGAATACCCTAAAGAAGATGGTGAAAAACATGATCTATTCATGGATTCAGGTAAGTAAAAATCCCCTTTATCAATTGAAGTTTCTACATAATGGTTTATGGTTTAAAAATAGTCAAATTTTCAGGCCAATTGGCCAATTATCAAACGATGATTTAGGCCCATTCTTGCAAACAGATAATATAACATAATTCTTATATTTTAGAAGAGATATGGAGATTTGGATGGTTTTTGTCTCTCCTGTGTTTACCTTTTGTAATATGTCTCCTTTTCACTGCTTTACTTCCTAAAAGCTTTATCTACTTTGCAGGTGAATCAATTAGGTTCAGAGTTACAAGTGAAGCTTTTGAGGAAATTTTACCGAGTGGACCACCAGGTTCTGAATGTACAACACAGACGGTGGCCCCATATAGGTTAATTGGTGGCATAAATGAACCTGGTTTAGGTTTACTGACCTGGTGGGAAGCACCAGAACAAGATGATGCTGAAGAAGATGAAGAAAATGATGAATAAAAAAACTTTATCAATTTTTTTATTAGTATTAATACACCTTGTAAAGTGTCTACCTGAGGAATGTTAGTTTTGAAAGTCATTCCTGTGAAGAAACAAACTATAAACAAAAGATGATCATTTTTATTAATCAATCCAAAAATAAGCTATCTAACTGCTGAAAAAAGACAAAAATAAAACATAATTCAACTTGCTACAACACATTATAATTTGTATACTTTGATAAATAGACAACAAAGATTATATTTTTTCCATTACCAATGATTACCAAAGCATAGTATTTCAATGGTATACAATAACAAGCAAAATATAACAGCCGTATTATTATCACAATTGATCCAACATTCGTACAAGTATCATCATTCTTATAATATTCAAATTAACTTTTCCTATCACTTTTTCAAGCAAACAGATATTATTAGAAAAAAAAAGTGTTATGCATAAATATATTTTAACACCCTACAAGTGCAAGTTAAAGTCATAGTAAATAATTTAAAGACAAAACAGTTATTCAATGAGATTAATTTCATCAATAAGAGTAACTAATATAAAAATATACCACTTAAAATAAAATCCTAATGTTGAAATAAACATATTAAAGCCCAACCAATAAAATAAAATGGCTGATCTTGGGGTCCTAAATTAAGTATGATTATATCAATACTAAGTGTGGTCATACACATGCAAACTGCCCAGTTGCACACTAATAATTTAATAATATAAAGTTTAATTTAAAGGAGCATGTCTTATATGTTTAAATATTGACTTAAATATAACTAAGATTTTTGAATAAATTCGTTTCAGTAATAGTATTTGAATAAAGTATTTCAGCAATATGGCGAGGATTTTTATTTTATTGGTTGGGCTTTAATATTTATTTAAGCTTAAGGCTACAGGCTTTCAAAAAACATCTAAAAGTAAACATTCACAGCACCAAAGGCTTGTAATTAATGCAACTAAATTCGTTCTTAATACTACAACCAATCTTTGTGACTTCGTCGAATGATAAGCTATGATTATTAATAATAATGTAAATGACATACAATAAAACATAGTCAAAAATCTTCTAATAGAGAAATGGCGACTCATTATGAATGTAGCAATGCGTTCGAATAACCGGGGACCAGTCTAATCCAGGTTAGTACAGAAATTTCTACTATTATCGCTCCTTTAATAATACGTTATTTAAAGTAGTAATGTTATTTTCATACAAATATAATGGTAACTACGGTAACCGTGTTTCACTTTATTCCACGTTTTACAAAACCGACAGGTAAACTTAAATCTATTTTGGAATATAATTCACTACAAATAGAGAGCAGTATCAGTAGAGTTGGGTAACATGGGGAATTATCTTAAGAAATTACAGTTCATTCACTGCGGTAAGCCCCTTTCGACAATTAACTGATAATTGCTGAAGTGTACATGTAAAATGATTATTTTTTACGAAAACTTGAGATATTAATACATTTTAAAACGAGATTGCAACCCGCGCTTGGTAATTAGGGGGAAATACGCATCGCAGTATTTACCCATCTCTACTAAGGACTTTAACACAAAAAATCATTATAATGTAAGTACATAATGAAGTGTCTAAATGCTCGATCACCCGTCTTTAACACAGCAAACTTGCACAATAAATATAAAACTATCAGTCAAGAAGATCTCGCTAACATTCAGCTAAATGAAAAACATGTATGTTGTGCTGAGAATATTATTTTGTCACATTATAAGACGTGAGAGAAATATTTCGGTGTCGAACTAAGGACGGGTTAGATAATTTACTACTGCGTCAAACGCTAAACAACCTAGGTACGCAAGAAAATATAAGTAGAAGTAAAAATAGCGTGAATATGATTAAGTTTAAGTGTTTTTTATTTGATAAAAATATTTATACATTCTAAAGTAAAGTCAGGAAAGATTCTTCTGAAATACACGTTTTTTTTTAAATAAAGTGTTTTTTAGCATACAATAATTTTTGAGCATGATACGATTTAAATATTAATAAGACATTTCAAGCAAATATTTATCTCCTTAACCTACATTGTGAAAACCATTATTCTTTTAAATTTTCTTTATATGGTTTGGTATATGATTGGATGGACGAATAAAGAAAATTTTTTTTTAATACAGGAATTAGGAATTTTAATAAAGGAATTACCAACTTTACGAACTTTATACGTAGTAGTTCAAAAATTCGATAATTTTTTTTGTAATATTTTGTTCGTAATACCGTATATTATAAAGGCTTCTAGAAACAATTTACGAAATTAAATTGTCAATCTTTTAAGAAATTATGTTCGAAGTTGGTAAACCAAATTACAAAGCGATTAAAATCTATGCAAATGTATAGAGCAATGGTGAATTTGTGAAATGATGAGCCTTATTAATATGTGATATAAGTCTTCCATCTAGTAAATGTCGTCCGTAAACAATAGCGGCGTGTTCATCGGCTGCCAGTCCAGTGGAGACTAACCAACGAACTAGGCATGACCCGCGAAATACTCCATGGTAGGTGCGCATGCGCCACCTTATAACAAGCGCATAGAATTTCATTTATAATGTGAAATTAAGTAAGTAGCTTTACCGTGAGTCGGACAAAGTGTTCACTTATGTCGAGTAAAATATTTGTATGATAAATCTTATAATGTCCTTGGGAAAATAGAATTTAAAATATGTAGTTTTCGCAAACATTAGCTTTAAACTTTATCAAACTGAGCCGAGCATGGTGTATTAAGTGTTAACACCTTATTTCTATGAAAAAGAAAACCTTTTCCCGTTTCTTAAGATATCTAAAAGGTTTTCATACAAATATTTTACCTAGACAATAGTGACATTGTGACACTCATAATACAGCTATGTATACAGAATTCTTAAAAAAACCTGATACAAAATGCAATTTTTGTTACCGATTATATGTTATCAAACACACTTTATGTGTTTATAGTTTTATCTAAGAGTCAAAAGTTAATTGAATAATATAGTTAATTTAATCAACTAATGGCTAAATATAATAAACAAAAAACTCGTTATTATAATTGCTAGCATATATAAGATACCACACATAGAGTGTCATCATTTAGAGTTAAGTAATTATAGAGATTACTCTTACAAACAAACTAAAAAAAAAGTGTGTGTGTGTCAGCTACGACGCACGATTGGAGTTTACTCCTTACGAACGATAAAATGGCGATAATGTTCTGTGGCTGTCGACCATATTTTCATACTAACGGTGGTAAGAATATATATGTTTTTATAATATAAATGTTTGTAGTAGTAATAAAACGTACATACATCATCTATGCCCAAATAGGATTTTCTTTCTGTGACCAAAGTTACCTTTATAGTAAGAGTAGAATAAAAATGAACAATCTTTTTAGTTTAAATTTCACTGACCATTACTATTGACAAAACTCTATAGCACGCTAGACAATCTACTTTTATTTTTTACACCTGTCAACACTGACAATGTTGTAACGTGGCTGTCAAAACGTGAATTCAAAATAGAAAAGTCTGTGTAATGTATTCCATCTCATTCTTTTACACGTTCAATCCTACAGATATATATGTTTGTCTCTTTCTACATAACGCCTCAACTTTTCGTGTTACACTTGATTTTACTCCTCATAAAATTTCCGTACCGAGCCTTATAACTCAAATCGTTTCTTAAGGAGTAAACTCCAAAAAAATTTTCGTTTTTAAGATTGGTGTGGGTACGCGCCGGAGACGCGTGACTGAAATAGGCTAGTAAAATTCTTAAAATTAACCGCGCACTCTTAAGTCACAAATAGTAGCCAAACGATGTGGGCTCGGTTCAGCTAGATGTGAGATAGAAATAAAGCTTACCGTGTATCCTTGGCGATGGCTTCCTTACAGCGTTCAAGGTGATGCGTAATAAACTGATCGCACACGTGTTTAGTTTCAAAACTTAATTCCTCTATTGAGGGCAGCACCACAGTGTCTGCTCCGTGCCTGAAAAAATTTAATTGCGAAAAGCAATTAGTTAATTTATGTACCGACCAGTTAATTTCAAATTTCGAAAACTTACTTGACTTGACTTAAATATTATTATACATATTATAGTTGGGACATATTCATCGATATTGCGGGCTAATCGATTGTGAGGAAATTTTAAGTTCTCGTGTTATTTTGACACGTGTACATCCATTATTGAACATATTTTATAAGTACATGATTGTTCTGTCTAATATGTGTGATGTTTGAGAGCAAGAATAAAATATAAAGGACAATTTGTTATCACGAATTTAAGCAAATGTTAATTTGATAGCTACGTGCAAAACATGAGTGTAAAGTTGATAGGCGACATTTAAAAGACCTTGTGGTGGCAAACTATGTCTGTGTCGGTCATACATTATTTATCTATACTAATTATATGGAGGTAAGATTTGTATATTTGTAATTAATAAACTCAAACTAATGAATTGATTAAAAAAAATATTTTACCGTTAAAACATATTCCTGAGTAACATAAATAATTCCATAATAATCTTAATATATATAAATTACGCGTCACGTTGTTTGTCCGCTATGGATTCCTAAACTACTTAACCGATTTTAATCAAATTTGCACACCGTGTGCAGTTTGATCTAACTTAAAAGATTGGATATCTTACATCTTAATTTATGTCCGCAATATTATTTTATTGCAAATTATTTGTTTATTATTTGACAGTCATAATTCTAACAGATGGCGCTGTGTTGAAAGTACCAACGTTTCACGTAATCTACAATGTAATGGCATAACCACCAAAAAAGCATGGTGGTCACCATGAATGGTGTTCTGCTACCGTTTCCCTCGAATAGTTTATACTATGTAATATAACAGACTAACAGCTCTCAACACATCTGTTCATAGTCTAGCTGACTGATTGCAAGACTTATATAAAAAAATGTAATATAACAAAAACCTTAGCCACAGCAACGCTTGGCCGAGTCTGCTAGTTTTAGTAATAAATGTCCAGCAGTGCAAAGCCGGACGAGTTGTTAGTAGGGTAAATTGTTATAATTTTTTACGCTGTTCTATCACATTTAAGCTTTAATCAAAATGAATACGTAAATATATATATTATATTTTGCAATAAAATAATATTGCGGGTATAAATTGAGATGTAAGCTATCCTATCTTTTAAGTAAGATCAAACTGCACACAGTGTGCAAATTTGATTGATATCGGTTCGGTAGTTATATATATTAAGATAACGCGTAAATAAATTAGATCACTCACCACTTCTTCTTGAAGTACCGAACAGCTGGTATAAATATTTCTTCTGGGTCAAGGCCAAAAAGGGCAAACATAACCAGAGCTTGCCCATACACAGCTGCCGTGTCCAGGAACTGTATCTCTATGAACACTCCCGCCTCATCCTTACGCAGTACTCGCCACGTTGTAAATGTTACGCCCTGTATATGGTGTTTATTACTATTTTTTCAATAAAAAGGCGAAGAAATGGTGCGGCCAATACCACGCGATATTAGAGCTATTTAATAATTGTATTAAGGTCAATGAACTGACAAGTAGTAAGTGATTAAATAATAGTAAACCAACGTTTGCCAAAAGAAAGACTCTAAAAGCTATTGTCGTGACCGCAATCTTGTTTTACATTATTAATCAACACGCTGGCTTTCGGTCAGACAGATAGTTAAACGTTTTCGAGGCGGCTTTATTTAAGTCAAAACGCTAGCGAGTTGATTGAATATCGATATTTAATTAAATGTCTAGAGATTCAATTATCTCTCTAATTTAACTACTTTACTGCGATATATATAATATTTTAGCCTTGCTATCCGGAATAAATAACTATAATTTTTTTTTCCTTGAGACAAAGAGTCCACGTATAACTCCTGTATGTCAAAACCGAATTGGACTTTGACCGGAGTCATAATTTGATCTAAGTCATAATTCTGAATTTACCCTTAGACCCAAAAATGGGTCAGACAGCATTAAAAAAATCAGATGCGATTCTCAATCTGGAGTTCTTGATAATGAAACCCAGCCGTGTACCAATTAATTTTTTGTGATACGCAATTAATACTACTTGTTTAACGGTATATGCTACTGTCATAGAGAAACCTATTCTTAGAAACGACATATGTCAGGCACATCATGCTGTTTCACTATAGAAAAACGACCAATGTAACAGACATCTAAATAGCTCTGTCCCTTGCGCCATACGGACTACATACAAATACTTTGTTTAACAAACAAAATATTAATGTCTAAAATGTATTTAATGCGTTAACTGGTTTGTTAATTTGCTAAATATGAATGAAATATATCGTTCGACTACTTAAATGAATACTTTATTATTAGAGTCTGGCTAATGAAAGAAGATAACGAAAAAGCGCGGCAAATTAAAAAAAAATAAGTATGGTATCCCTAAGTTTGATATATTTTGTGGATTGAACTTACTTGATTTTATTTTATTATTTTTTACAATGATAGTGACCGTATTTCTATGAAATGAAATACTATACGTATTTAGTCTTTTACTATTGATACTTAAAATGACTAGCATTGCATGGAAAACTAAAACTATATTTATTATAAAACACAACTTTATTCGGAATAATCAAATCCTGCGAAAGAAACGAAATATTCTATCAAATAAAACAAAGTTTAGGCTATTGTATCTGTCAACTATTCGGAAAAAATATACAATAGAAATAAAAATGAGTAATTGCATGAAGTATCAAGACAATAAATCATACTAACTTAAGAAATTCAATGACATTCTGTGTTGCCATCCGAAAGTTTTCAAATAATTCAATTATCTTCATTCATTAGCCAGACTCTACGCATAAATAAAATTATAGATCATTTATTTATTCAGTGGAGATAAATATATTTTTTTTAATATACTTACAATAAACATAGTAAGGTTATAAGCGATGAGTAGAACAGTGTGTTTTAATAACTGCCCACCTCTTCCTCTTGACTGTTCTGGTGGCACGAGGCCTAAGGCGCTGGCAGCCTGATCCAGGTCGTTCAAGTATTGACAGGTTTCTGAGGTAATACAACGACCTTTTTGGGATGCCGGGCACGCGCATTCCTTGCTAAAATATAAAAAAATCATTAGAAAAATGTAGAACCACCTTTAAACTTAAAAAAAAATTAAATTAGCCTCAGATAATAAGTCAAAAGTTGAAACATTTAAACAATTTTTAAGACAATTAAATTCTCTAAATTTTAATAAAAAAATCAGTGGCGCAACAACCTCTTTAGGTTCTGAATCTGTTTCATGATATTTTTTCAATCTAATAGACAAGTAGGTGATCAGCCTCCAGTGCCTGACACACGCCGTCGTCTTTTTGGGTCTAAGACATGTCGGTTTCCTCACGATGTTTTCCTTCACCGTTCGAGCGAATGTTAAATGCGCACTTAGAAAGTCCATTGTTGCACAGCCGGGGGTGGAACCTACGACCTCAGGGATGAGAGTCGCACACTGAAGCCAATAGGCCAACACTGCTCATTAAATAACGCCGCTAAATATTAATAGAATTAAAAAAAACTTACCTATTATTAGCGATATCTTCAATATCCTGACCCTCATTTAGATTCCCACTCTCACAGTTAGGGTCATTATTGCAACATGTCAAATTTTTGTTTGGAGATGGAGTCGCCGTAATAGTACCGTAACACCCTGAAAATATTAGGAAACTCGCTACTTATTCCATAATTAGAAGTATTATTACTATGTGCATACTATGTTATGCTACATAACATAGTATGCACATATATCAGTGCTCTTAGTACAAAACTATATGAATTCGAATAGAAATATAAGCAATAGTTACAAAAAAGCTCTAAACATGTCATATTAAAAGCCACGATCCTATTTTTACGTTTAAAATATTAAAAGGAATGCATAAATATCAGCCAGAAAATGATTATAACTGTGGTAATTATGAAATGATATTTTAATTACTTCAAATATATACTTGATTAGTATACAGTGTAAAAAAGTTTAATTTACCTTGTTCCTCCATGCCTGTATTGAAAAAAATTGTGGTTAATAAGTTATAGTTACTATACAGAGACCCAAACAAGATAACTGTGCTTATATATATTAAATTGTTATATTAAAAGTTAGCTATGATTATAAAGTTTAATATTAAGAACCTTTCCCATAAAATCAATAGTTCAAAGCGAATTTTAAAAAAATCAATTGAATACATATGTATTATGTTAACATTGATTACATTTCCAACCAAATGTATGAAAACCGCTGAGTTGTTGCTATCAACTAAGATTAACAATAACATCAAGTAACTGTACAGATACCGGCAAACATCTTGAACAAATGTCCTTGCGCAGAAGCGATTTTTAGGTATCACTTTGTTGCGCGGTGGCGGGAGAGTGACGTGTCGTTAGCGTGATTGGTAAATCAGTTGACGTTTGTGTCCCAGATGCGTAAACTTTCCCCCACTCCCTTGTTTAATGCTCAAGAAGTTTGTCGGTATCTGTACGTATTCGTATAGTATATCACCATCGCATGAATCGATATTGCTCAAGCCGAAATCTGTATACAACATATACGTTTTATATTCATTCCTTAATGCATAGGAATAATATAAAACGTATGTGTTGTATACAGATTTAAATAATAATAATCTACGCGGTACAACCCTGAATGAGAATTGGCCTCATACTGCATTTGTTTGTTTGACATTTTGACAAGTAGGTGATTTAAGGGCCTCATAGCCTAGCGGTCTTATTAAGTGGCAGCTAGGTGAGGGGTCGAGTTCGGGGCAAGTTTTAATTTAATTTAAATTTGTTCTCGGCCTTTGGGAGGGTTGTGCGGTACCGGGCGAGTGCTTAAACCGTACATGGAGGACACAGGAATTTCTAAGGCAAGCACGAATTATAAAAATCTTATACTTGACGCTGGCTAATGCACAAACCGTGCCAGAGCCACAAAAGAAAAAAAAATAGGTGATCAGCCTTATGTGCACATGTCGTCGATTTTTGGGTTTGAGATAGTTTTTTCAGTTTCTTTACCATAGGAGTATAGAGAAAAGATAGAAAGAATATTCCATTGGTGCATACGTGATTCGAACGTGTTAAGCCAACACTGCTTTCTTATGGATGGAATAAATCTTTGAAGCACATAATTATTATGAAAGACTTTACAAGAATCGCAGCATCTAAAGGTAAAATATTATACTAAAAGAAAGTAAAAGGTTCTCTCTTGGAACTCTTGATACATACTATTATTGGATATGGATTGCGTATTGGAAATCGGTTCAGCGTTTTCCACCAAGCTGGTTGATTCATCCGGCGGCGAGATGGTAGGGGAATCAGTGAGACTCGAGAACTGAGCGCTACGGCGTCGGAACCTCACGTACAAGATTAAACAGCCTGTTGACACTGAAATGACAATTATACCTTAAAGTCAAAATATTATTAATGCAGGTCTAAAAAAATACGCTTGACATTTACTGTCCGTTCCTGAAATCACAATTTCTACCTAAAATAAAGAATAAATTTCGTGGTCAGAGATTTTCAGCACCTGAAGAAGCTGTGGACGCCTACAAAACGGCCATTTTGGAGACCCCAACTTCCGAATGGAATGGTTGCTTCAATGATTGGTTCCATCGTATGGAAAAATGTGTCAAATTTCGCGGAGAATACTTCGAAAAGCAATAAATACATTTTGAAATAGTAATGTTGTGTCACTTCCTTGATTCCCGAAATTTTCAGTGCCGCCCTCGTATGGAGCAATATTGATGATCTGATTTCGACCACAATTATATTCTGCTTAAACCGAAATGTCTTTGACGAAGCACAATTTTAAGCTATTGCATAGATTTTATCGCGGGCTTTGAGCGCGGCGACCGATTCAAGAAATTCCGTAACGAAATAAACCTAACACACGATGACGTAATATAGGTGCGGCCAATACGCGTAGAGCGGGACAGAACGCATACTGCGTCTCACATCGGTTTAGCGTGATCGGATAAGCGTGTTAGTCTGAGTCTGGTAGAGTGGTAGATTGAATTAATATCAAAGAAAAAAAATACTGCAAAAAATAAATAAATAATTATATTGCTTAAGTTTATAAAAATGCTTTACCCCCGAGTGCCACACGTATTTTTTATATATTTTCTTTTATTAGCAGCATGTTAATAACATTTCTATCCATAAAAAATGTATTGATATACTCAATAAGATTAAAGACTGTTAGAAACACGAAGACATGGCTTATCAAGAATCATTACATTAAACATTGATAAAAAAACTCACCCGTAATACAAAAGAAGAGGACGCTTAGCCGAATAGCGTCACACGCATCAGCATTGATGCTAGTCCCAGTCTGCTTGGTGATCAGCAGAGCGGTTACCATGACTGCGGGAGCGCCCCACGCCACGAACGCCAGTACGGGCCAAAGGGTGACCACGAAACATGGGCCACGGCTCTATAGAGGAAATATATTCTAGATAAAAAGTCTACACAATGGGCTATTGTACAGTAATGTGTAGATATTAAATGTTTTAAGCGTAATAGAGTAAAATCACTTGTCAATAATTAATATTATATCAAAACATCCATATTTAAAAATATTGATATTTTATACGTTAGTCACGTGACACAACGGTCACAGATTGGTCGAATCGATGATGAAGTACGGTGCCAGTAATTAGTGTGTCTTCGCATGTCTAATACTCTCATGGAGTTTAATTTCGTTGGAGAATATTTTTCATCGAAGTATAATATATATGTATGTATTTATTTCATTTATGAATTATAATTAACACATAAAACACTTGATATGCGTTTACGTGTTTACAGTAGGTACTACATAGGGACACAGTAGGGACTGGTGCGACGCCATCTTGCCTAAAGAAGTGTTTCGGTGGCTTCTTGAAATTACTAAAGTGAAATTTGATTTTTAAAGCCAATGAAAGCAGAATTAAAAATAACAATTTGTATCGGTTCTATAGTATCTAGCAAATATTATGAAATAGTTTTAAAAATCTTCAGTAGCCTATTATCACAAATACAATGGACCGAACGACTATCACAAGAACTAACACAAAATAAAAAATAACTAAACCATAAACAAATATAAATATTGCATCATCACTTTATGAACAACCAATAGGTATAGGTATGTAGGTTTGAAATATAATTTATATTTCTGCATTTTTCTTTGATTAAAATATCTTTAACCATTACCAGCCTAGCATAACACAACTTACAAAAAGGGGGAGAAAACAGTGAATGTAAAAAAACATGATTATCAAAAATGCCAAACGACGCCATTAGACAGAGGAATACGATATTATACGGACAGAAAGTGCTTATATATTTTAATTTTCTTATGTGTAATATGTTATTTTAATTTCCTACGAATATAAAAAATAAATAAAGTCAAAAATGGTGGTTGATGGTTTGTGTAACAAATTATCAAAATTTTTTTAACGTTATGGTTCAACGTTTTCCTTTACACCACATTGACATCAGTTTTATAATAATTTTAAAATCTAAAATGAAAAGTGTCGTATAGTAAATTTTCGTTTAATGTTTTGTACAGATTATACAACTATTGTATAATAAGTTACTAGAACACGAATGTGTTTTAACGGCGTCCGACGAGTTCAAATTTAAATACCTTGATACGTAGTTACGAGAGATATAAATAGAAAGTCAATACAAAACTTATGAATGGCGTCATTCCTGGCGCGAATACAGATCAGCAAAAATTTAAATATCTAAATGACAATAGAAATGACAATCCTCCTTAGAAGAAAATTACAATAAAAACTTCTTGGAAATATAAACTCTATGGATAAAGTCGTACAGTCATTTTAAGGTTGTTTCTTTAGGGAGGTACGTTGTTTTTTAATTTCAAAGTATGAAACTTAAGAAAAATATTAATAAAACTAAAAAAATATTAACTACCGTCTTTTGTTTCTCCTAAATAAATTATTGTGCACACTTCACATACCTCCAACATAAACAGTCCCACCGAGAGCATAGACGTCCAAAGGAGGCAGGAATAAATACTGAACATCTGCAACGATTGCTGAGTTATCGTACTCCAGGTGGGTGTATAAGTTTTCTCTGTCCCGCCCCATATTATACTTATAGCCAATAATATCTGTAAAAAATATAGGTTATTTTAGTTAATCTACATAATAGTCGCTACGTCTAAGTATACATTTTTTCATGCCACCTGTAGATAAAGTATTCTAAACATTGGAAATAAATAATTTCACTCCGAAGCATACCTTAATTACAAGAACGAAAATGTATTTAAACGTTTTTTAAAATACTCCTTACCCGGCAACTAATCGGCTAGTATTCGAAAAATAATACCTAACGAACCTGGTAAAATAAATGATAGAACCACGAAATCAGGCTTAATTGTACGAATTTAGGTTCGCGTTTAACTCACTAGTTAGATTTACGAGTACAAGATCAAAATGTAACTATACTATTGGGATATACACTGTTTTCTTAAGATAGTGTTTCCGTTCGGTCTAAAAGTTTCGAGACACATTTCAAATCACGTCCAAACGTTTCAGTAGTCAATCGAACAATACTTCTTGAATTAGGGTTGAAAATGTGTTACGTTTGCGTCATGGTAGAACTGTTAAAAAAGAATATTAATCCAGTAGTACAACCCTATGGGTCTATGCCTCGGATTAGATCTGAGATAATGTTTATAATTTGTGTCTGGCTCATGTCATCGATTTTTGGGTTTAAGACAAGCTAGTTTTCTTAAGATGCCCACACCGTATGAGCGAGTCTTCAATGAAAAGAAATTCATCGACAAACAGCTATTGCAGCACTGCTCAAGAACTACTATTACGGAGATTATTGAAATGAAAACTTCTTTAGCGGCGTTGTACACTTTTTTTGGAATGGGTAAAAAATGTTAAACTCGCGTCAGGACAAATTCGTAAGACGGATGTTTTTTTAAAGGATTATGAACCTTCGTGCTATATAGTTACGGTTTTAATTCATTTGTCTCTTTCTTCAGATACATTGATTTGGACAAAAATAAGTTTTGAATTTTGCGAAACGTCTAAAGCTTTATTATTAACGATTTGGTCAGACTGACGCGAATGAAAAATGGCAACTTAAAAAATTGTAAATTTTCCTAATGGTTTATTTAATACTAATTTTAATTATTTTTTGTAGGTTTCGTAAGACGGAGAGTCGACAGCTGGCGCGGTGTTTTTAATATAATATAAATTGTCATGTTTGGGTACGATAGCGCAATAAATAAATATTATATTCTACCACATAAATGATAGTACTTTTATACTGTGATTAAAGCAATTCGTGCAAAGTTAATATTCAAGTTTTCATTTCTGCCGGCAGTCCCGGAGTGCACCGGGGGGGAAAAACCCGGTTTTTTTATTCTTTGAATCGTAATGGCATCACTATGTATTACCTTATGATAGAGTTCATCTTACCTGGCACAAAAAAAAATAAGTTCCATTCCGAGATGAGAAAAATATATAATTATCATTAGTCATTACTATGTCATTGTTAACAGTACATAAGCACTATCCAAAGGCGTTTTTATATGCAACAAATACTGTATATTGATTACCTGTGATAAATTCAAGCAAAGTGTCAATCTATGCGGCATCCTTTTGTACTTCCTTGTTACAGAAAAGACAATTAACACCCAAACAGCAGCTATCAAAGCTACTATGGATATATCAAATCGGAACGCTCTTATTTTATCTGCATAATCATTGTTCATCGTTATCACTTCAGCAGACAAGAATGTCATTGGGGCGGATAAAAACGTACATATCACCATAGATGACGCTACCTGAAATGGATTTATTGTAATATAAATAATATTTATTTTCTAATTCTCTGGTCTAGTGGCGACCGGGGGCTTGAGACAAAATTACTTTATACCAGGCGTGACGCATTAGTATCGCCAAACATTTTTACATGAAAATATAGTCACAAACAGAGGCAAGCCGTGAGCTAATGTCATTTCTATATAAATTCGTTTAACTGACGAATCAAAAGTAATTTCGTGTCAAGCCCTTGGCTGGATGCGTATATTTTACAATATTTTGAAAACAAATATAGCCGATGAGTGATATAACATTCTAGAGTTGAAATAATTTTCGAAACCGGTCTCGTAGTTTTTAAGTTAATTTGTTACAAACATACAATTATTTCCGCATTATAACTTTAAAGTATATATATAAAAAAATAACGGTGTCACTCCTCCAAAACGGCTCTACTAAGATTCATGAAATGAATGGTAGGTGTATGGTGCACGTATTTAATGTAATAACAATTTTTTTAAAATTCTGCCATCTTAACTCTGGCAAATAATTTTATTACTCAATCACGCCAAATGTTAAAAGGCTTTTTTACCAACGTCGGTATAGCCATGAAAGTTATGATACTTTTCCGGGAAATCTACAGACACAAATAATTATATTTTCGGATATATACCAACGGTAACAAAACAAATGTAACAAAAAAAGCATTGAATAACTTTACATTTACTTTTGGAGAAGATTACTACATATATACCTATTACTTATTTGTGTTGATATTATATGATATATATCTAAATCAATAAATCAGTAGATACCCGGATATACGAAAAAATATAAAATAGAATTCTCTTTTTAAAGATATACCTAGCAATATAGTAGAGGTATCTTTCTTAAATAGCTTCCTCTGTATGTCTTTAGGAACTCTCTCCAAAACGAAATAAAAAATATTTCCCGTTACTACGATAATGCTACTCGAAGCAACATTTCGGCTTAGTTAAATTGAATCTGCTATCAGTGAAAAAAATATACTATCTGGATTTAAAATATATATATAATTCTAACTTAAAATTTGCCCTATGATTATATATGTGCAATAGAATTTCACACATACAAGCACCAGAAATATTAATTGCATATAAATACCACTAAATTATTATTTTATCAATGATTTTATATAGAAAAACAGAATGTTGCTGCTCGTTACATAAGCTCAAAGCTATTAGTAATTCATTAGCATATTGTAAGAAAATTATTAAATTAATTTTGTTAATGCATGAACTTACTCCAAAACCTAAAATTGCATAATATTATTTAAATATAAATTTTACAACAACTAATTGTTATATTTATAAATAAAATATATTATCTATTTATAAAACTTTGTCAAACTGGTTTTATTTCATGCTTGTCAAAAAGTAATAAAAAAATTAATACTTTTTGTATGTTTTTTTTTTGAGACTAATAAAACATACATTGAAGGCCACATGACTGGACTGACTAGTAGAAGGGTTTACCAACTAGTTTTTGAAATCATATTTAAGATGAAAATGTGTGGCAAGATTACAGTTTGCAAGGAAATTTTAAAATAAATTTCTTATTTTGACTTGATTGCAATAAAAAAGCATGTTGTCAAGAGTAACTTACTTCAGTATACAAATAAAATAGGTGATAGGCATAGGTGCACATACATATGTGTTCCATATAAAAACTGAATATAAATAAGATTACTGACTGACTGATAAATCATGTTTTCTTACCAAATCAATTTCCAGTTGATACAAGTTAGAGAAGACAAAGACTGCTGGTGCAGTTGGTATTGTTCCATATAAAAATGCATAAGTCGAGAGAGACTGTGTGTCTGTCACATTAACACCTGCATCTAAACCACTTACACATTCACGCATTACCACTGGAAGTACTATCCTGTTAATCAAAGATTAATAAAGGTAAGAGGTATAAAGTCATTAGCAATAGTGTGCTTATGTAAAAAAGCAATATTTTACTAATTTAAACAATACTTTACAGTATTTAAACCTGGGTTTAATACAATTAGTGTGGTATTTAAAAATACCACCAGTACCCATAAAAAGCTGTAAGTCTGTGTGGGAACAACTGAAACATTTATAAATTTGACTAGAGTATTCATGTCTGAAAGCTCTTTAAAGGAATTTGTTTTAGGTTTTGAAAATGTAGAACTTACAATTTGACCATTATTAACACACAGGGCAAGACAAGTGCAGGGCCTCTTAACCGTGTGATTTGACCAACCATCCGAAGACCCAAGAGAAACAGAGCTGAGGCTGAGAAGGATTGCCCAAATACCTTAAAAAATTAATATGTATTTCAATGAAAAAAGTGTAAGACTCATAAATGTTCAAAATAAATTCTATATTTTATACAAGTTAAAATTCACAAGCGGGAATGTTAGAGTGAATCTTTAGCTATAGGTATATCAAAAACACTGAAATTTATTCAACTCTGATTATTTTATCTTATGGCATTAAATACTGGCACAGAGAATACAATTTAGTTTTTATACTATAAACCTGGATAAATACAGGAAAAAATAAATTATTCTCACATCTAATAATCCTTCAATATAGATGGAAAGTTTATGTTTAAATACTATGTTTCCAATAATACCCAGAATAGTCATTATCAACACTGGATTTAATATAACACCTCGAAATATTTGGTAAAGCATTTTCCATTTACTTATATTTTTCCTCTGACTGGAGTCTGATGCTGACATCTCTATTTCTTTTTGTTTATTTATTTCCATTAACACAAAAGCTATAGGATTTAATATAGCCAGTGAAATTGGAGCCATCAAATACAAATAAAGAGCATATTCAGGATGTGTTTTCTCATAAATTGCATTTACTGAAAATAAATCATATGTATATATGTAGTCATTTAATGATAATAAAAAAGGACAAGCCTGTTCATAATATGAAAAGTCAGTTTTTATTGTACTTACTGATTGGATATCCCAAAGCAAAATCATTACTCTGTGTACAAAAAATTGCAAATATTCCAGCTCGTGCCAAATTCACTGGTTTAGATACTAGTATGCACACTATAAGAACCCCAAAAAATACTAGCCCCTTTGCTAGCAAAATTGCTATGAGAAACTTCCAATTCACTGTACTAAAGTCCAAACGAGCAAGGGATAAAAATATTAAAGAAGGCAGAGCAAATGTGCCTACAAATGTAGCAATACCCTTTGACTCCAATTTTGATACAATATTTAGTCTTCCAGCGAGATATCTAGAGCAAAATAGGAATTGATTAACTTAAATAAGACATGTATGCAGTGAATATATTATTTATTAAATGTACTCACCCACACACAATGATAGTGAAACACTGAAATAAAGCTGGATACAAATAATCTGTTACAGGATCCATTAACATTGCTGAAGTAGAATTATCCATTATGCCGAGGTAAACACTGTAAGATTAAATCATAAAGTAATATCTAAGAATTCTCAAATACCAAGCATGAAATAATTCATTTTAGCAAAACTGAATGCAAGTCATAGACTAGTCTCGTGTAAAAGATGATTTAAAGCAACTTATTTTCTTACATATTCGATTATACATAGAATAAAATCAAAATTTTATTTTTATTTGTTCTTGTTAGCCATAGAACTGAAATTGATGTTTGCATTTAAATTAATTCAATTTAATTCGCAGTTATTTGTATTTTGTTATGACTTGTGGTAAAGTGCTCACTGCTCACTGCTCACCAGTGTTCACAACCTGAAGCCAGGCAGATATCGTACCAGGGCCGTAAAATTATCGTATATGTGATCCATATGCGATATTATCGTACAGTCAGGAAAATTGCTAATAATACTTTAAAAAAATCATATGAAACGTGAAAATAAAAATGTTGCAAACGATTTATAGTTTAAATCTTGTAAACTTGTGTTTTTAAAATTGAAAAAAATAATAATAATTCAATTTAAATGTTCGAATGGCACAGACCCGAGCTGGGCCCTCGTCCACTTCGAGTGTGATTAAGGCGCCAACATTTCAAATTTATAATGAACAAAATAATATTAAAGGGTAGAGACATGAAAAAAAAGCATGTTTTTAAAAGTTTAACTGAATATATTTAGGGCGAGAACAGAATACGCAAATATTAATGAAACTTAACGTTTGAAATACAACTTTTAATCTCTTCCGTCAAAAATACGCAATATTTTGATATACCTATTGTCCGTAAACATCGTATATTATTTTTATCATTTAAAATTCGTAACGTATTAAAATGATATCGAAGACTTCCGAATCTGCGTCACCATACAAATCGTGAATTTTTGGCTGTGCATTCTGATGCGTTTTGTGTTTGTACATTAACGCTTTGTTCATCCGCTGTAGTCGCCTTGTGACTACTTGTTCCTAATAGAAAAATAAGCCAATAGATGGACTGACACTAAAAACTTTAATTGTTATTGGGCTATCTGTGTAATATCAAATTTTTATAGAATGGAAATTATCGTACAATCTGCGTAATAGTCGTGTACATCGTAATCTACTAGTTGAGATTATGCACATGTAGATAATTATGTACGTTGGAAACTGACTGCTCACTACTAATCAGTATGACCGTTTTAAAAAATGGCGATCTACCAAAACTACAAGGTGCCAGTACTAAATAATACCAAAACACATGCTGAATCATACTAAAATAAAAAGAGGATTTCTTTTATTAAAACACTTATTATCAGTTACTTTTTAATTTTACCAATTACACACCTTCATTATACAGACATATTAAAATAATAATAAATATTTACAATAAGTTTTATTACAAATACTAGAGTCTGGCTAACGAAAGTAGATACTGGATTTTTTTGCAAACTTTTTATATGACAACACTAAAGTTAGTACGGTCAAAATGTCTTGATATTTTTATATTAGCTTTAGTTAATATATATATAATCAATTTAAGAGACAGCAGCGACTCCAGTGATTCTGACGATTCACTCCATGTTGAATTTTTAGATTCAGATTTTGATTATAGTGATTAAAAAACAGTATAAAAATATATGGTGTTGTTTTCTTTGATACATACTCACATAGATTTATAAATATTTAAACTCATGATAATATTGATACGCATGATAGTGTTTGATAGCCTGTTTGTTCCTTTAATACGCCACAATGGAGTGACGTATCCGTGTGATGTTTGGTATGGAGTTAATAAAGAGTTAACAAGTGATATAAGCTACTTTTAATCTCCTCATAACGCGGACAAAATTGCAAGCATCCACTAGTAAAATAAAAATGAATGTCAAAGTATCAAAGTGAGTTGTTCCAACTTTCCTTTTTACTTTAGGGCTGCCATGCTGATATTTTTTAAATTTGTCGCGCTTTTTCAGTATCAACTTTCATTAGCCAGACTAATAATACGTCAGTATTTGCTGCACTGAGCTAACTGAGCAGATTTGGTGCGTTTGCAGGAAAAGCCCATTGCGATTTCCGAATCATAAAACATTTTGCTGAATAAATCGCTGACATGATCCATGGCCCGAGATGGTATGTTATATTCTGCCAACTCTGCATAAAATATAAGCTCTGCTTTTCTTACTTCTTCAGATATGAGTTCTTTCCTTTGAAGTAATTTATCATCGTTCTGAAAATAAACAGGATTTGATTAATTTTCCTATCGTAAAAAATAAGTAAAATACCTATTTCTTATTTTAAAAAACTAGTCTTATTTATAAAAAAATTTAAAATTCAGCTTGAAATCGCTTGAGAATCAATTATACATGTGTGTATAACTGTACATGTATTATCCAAGATTCATCGGACATCCTGTAGAAGTAGGACAATTAATTCATGTGCCATAAAAAAATAAGGGACACAATAATCTTATAAATATGTTAATGGGGGCATAGCTTTCTTACCTTGGTCGTCGGCAGCGTATTAAAATGAATGATGCTTACTCTCAGTGGAATAATATAAGTACTGGTGTTCCGCAGGGTGGCGTTCTTTTCCTCCTCTCCTTTTTTCTATCTTTATCAACACCCTGACTGCACATCTATCAGCTAATTATCACCTTTACGCTGATGACCTCCAAATTTACGTTCAGTCTACACTAGATGAGCTTCCTCTTGCAATACAGGCGATGAATGATGATCTTGAAAACATAGCCAACTGGAGTAAAGACTTTGGTCTTCAAATTAATCCTGCCAAGAGTCAAGTCATCATCATCGGAAGCCCTTTCTTTATTTCAAGAGTCAAATGGGCTCAGCTCCCTGGTGTTTACCTTGATGGTGTGGCCTTGGCCCTCAATAAGACTGTTAAAAACCTTGGGGTCTTCTTCGACCAAACGTTTTCCTTGGGTCATCACGTAAAGGAGATCAGCTTTACGCCGCTTCTTTTACTCTGAGACGTCTTTCTAATTTCCTTCCTATCCGCACTAAAACTATGTTAGCGCAGTCTCTTCTGCTTCCTATTCTCGATTATGCGGACTCGTGCTCCTCTGATTTGAACGAAGAGCTACTTGACAAGATCGAACGCCTGCAGAATTTCTGCATACGTTTCATATTCGGTTTTAGAAAATATGACCATGTGTCTAAATTCCGCAGGCAGCTGGGGTGGCTACCTATTCGATTCAGACGTCACGCTCATCTTCTTCAACTTCTATACTCAATTCTTTTCAATCCGAAAACCCCTTCTTATCTCAAAAATCACTTCAAATTCTTAGGTCCTTCTAACTATATGTTACGCTCTTCTAATAGATGTTTATTGGAAATTCCATCCCACACTTCATCCTTCTTAGGCAAATCATTCACGATATCCGGTAGTAAGTTGTGGAATAGGCTGCCCGACTCCATACGATTGGCTACCTCTCTGTCATCTTTTAAAACTCTTCTGTATAATCATTTCTTAACCTTATCCTATTCTGATCAATTGTGACTTGTATAATTCTTATGTTTCCTTTTGCATCACTATTCGCTGTTCATGAATTTGTAAGATTAGCTTTTAAGTTTTTAGTCTGTTATTAATATTTTCTTTTGTATTACTTTAGATTAAGGTTCCATATATATATACATATATTTTATATAACATTTGGTTCTGCACTGCATTTGCAACGAAGTGTAAATAAATAAAAATAAATAAATTGTCCACTATAATGTATAAGTTTCTGTCGATGTTTTTCAGAATATGCATGACTTTTGATTGATGATGATTGCTTGATTGCATGATTCTGCTTAAAAATTTTGCTCCACAAGTATTACACGAGGCGTTCTCATTATTTTTATCTTTTTTCAACCATGACGAAAATTCAGGATTTTGTTCCCACTCCGATCTATATTTCTGATCGTATTTGCGCTTCATTATCTTCACTACACATGCACACAGAGAGAAATAAATAAAGAACTAAAACATCCGTGGTTCCTTTTATACAGCATGTAACGTAGATAGTAATACGTAGCTAAAACACGATTCGCGAATTTGTTAGCATTAACCGTTCGAAAGAGACAAAATGATACATTTGCGGTAAACATCAGACAAAGACAAAAACATGTGAACGAAATACGAACGAATGGAAGTGAGTGTTTCCCGCCCAGCCCAAAAATATATCAAAATGTGTTTTAAAATGTTGAAAGTTTAAATGTACCAAAAAATACCAGAATATAAAAGGATACCAAAAAAATACTAAATTAGTTACATGGAGCCCAAATTATACCATTTTGGTACTGAATATACTAAAAACGGTCACACTGCTACTAATATTATTAAGATTATTACTAGTGACTACTGACTAACTGTCAAGCAGTGACTTCTAGTGATGCCAACTCCTAGAGAATGTTCCCCCCAAGACCAACAGTGTTGACAACTGCTAGTGCTACCAATGGCTTGTAGCTAGAAATTTAACAGAAAATTGCTTGATTGAGTAACTTTTTCTTTTTAAAAAGTGGCTAGAAGTAGCTATATTTTCCGGTGAAAATAAATACCGTTTATTACTGATGTACTTACAAAACATTTCAAAACCTAAAGTTGCTAGAAAGAGTAGCTAGATGCTAAAGTTTAGCTACATGTTTATAAAATTTGTAGCTGTCTGACGTCAAAAAATTGCTAAATCTAGCTATAAAGCTTATTACTTAGCTAAAGTTGGCAACACTGAACATCAACTTTAAATACCGCTAAATACCCCTAAAGTAAAAGTTTTTGTTTAGTTACAGAGGTCATATCAAATATTTTAAATACATATTTACCTTAAAGTAGTATAAAATTGCTGTTACTTCGATCTTGGAGTATTATAGCTTTTTGATATTATAGTTATAGCCACTTTTGGAATTTATATTCGTTTGGTTTTGTTTTATTATTGATTAGGTGGAAGTCTTAATATAAATGGAAAGCGTGCGTTGTATATTATTATATCCAATTTGCGAAATTTACTTTTCGTGAATAAATTACTAAAAAATTTGTTTAAAACCCATCTGGCCATCTTCTTCACCTTAAAATGTGGGGGGGAGGAATACTTGAGTATTTTCTAGTATGGTTAAATACAGGAACTACCATTACAAAACGCAAAAAACAAAGTTGATCAGGTAATTGGAATGTTGTTTATTTTTTGTTGCCTTCGAATAATACATAAAAAAATAGAAATCCACTACGAAAATTCTATAAGGTGTTCAAGGTATTTAGACCTAATATGGGAAAGTCATGTCAGTCATGAATTTGGGTTAGATAATTTTTGGTATTATTCCCCATATTTAAAGTGTACATGATTATTTGTATATTGGTTTTGATAATTATAAATAATTACAGACAAAATATTATAAATTAATTTGATATTCGCTTAGTAGTATGTAGTAAAATTCAAATTAATTTACTATTTACTTTTTATTACAAACATATTATAACACGGACCACTTGCTGCGCAGTAGCAAACAAAATCTTAAAAATACTAATCCATTTTATATTTTTTTTTGTTATCAAAATCACTTCTTCTAAAAAAAAAACTTTGGATCTTCATAATATACATATATTATAATATATTATGTATATATAGTTCTAGTTCATTTTTGTAGACGGGCAATACTAAAATCAATACTTCGTCAAGATATTATTTCCTTTTCCGGTTTCAATGATGAAACCTGGGCTGCCAGTTAAAGGTTTTCATATTTTCCACAAATTTTAGCTGTAATTTGTATAAACTATCGAGATACCATTATAACATTTTGACAAACTTGGTATCGGTTATACATTTCTGATTTTAATTTAGGAAATTTTGAATCATCCAAATATTAGGAAAAACAAAGCAGTAAAAACAACAGGCCTGAAGAGCCAATCAGATATACTTATATTGCAAGTCTTCTTTAATAAAAGATAGTAGTTTAAGAATATTTTAGTACTTTGTATATTATTATACGTAATTGAATTCATATACACCAAACATTACGCACGTTTTAAAATTAATTAAAATTATAGTTTCTTGTGTAAAACACTGTTAACTTGAAATCTACTGATAATTTTGGTTTGATATATAAATGCTATTATAAACTTGAAAAGTTTGTGCATAGTATATCTATACGCACGTCAATGTTCCTGTCGAATTTAAACCGAATTAGGATTAGCACTTATCCAATTCTAAGTGTGAATTAGGTGTTGACATATACTGCACTAAGGAATAGTATATTTTCTGAATATTATAATACATATTTTTTTACTTCAGCGGTCTTTAATGACCTATATTCCGTTGATATTGGGTGTTGGTTAGGAACTTACTTATTGCTAGCAACACTAATCCGACGACGGCCATATTATTTTCATTATCGAGTTGTTCGTTCGCCGGGTCTGCTAGGTGGATTCTGGTGAATGACACATTTATTTTCTTTTTAAATTCTCTCGTTTGAGAGGTAAGTTAAAATATTATTCATAGCGGATTAACTAAGAATTAATACAAGTTACACAGTGTTAATATACGTTCCCGATCTAGATTTCGAAATTGTATGCTTCGTTACAGATACTTTCCATTCACACCACGTATACCACCTTTCCCGGGGTCGTAAAAACTTAAAAGGATTCAAAATGCAGTACAACAGCTTTCACAATCAACACCCAATGTAAGTTTTGTTTAAATTACATATAATTAACGTTTCCTAAACCTATTAGGACATAGTAAACCAAGAAACTTAAATGCGGATACGGGCGGCCATTTTGTGAAATTCACTTCGTTCAGCTCACAGCTGATAATCGTGGTATTTAGGTTCCATAGGTAGCTCCTCGTGTGTTTTTCTTAATTTTAAGTAGTAAAATTAAATTTCTATAATTATTACTTTGTCTATGTGAAAGATAGCATGATAAATTTTTCATGCTGCAATCTACCATGCGCGGAATTATTGACCTTCACAATCGTCCATTGCGTAGGTTGGTAGCTATAAGCTAATATCCAGAATCGGTATTGATTTAAATATCTAGCTGCATAGAGGCCTAAGCTTTAAATCATAGGGTTTGGTTCTTTAGGGGGAGGCGCGAATTATGAGTTAAGTTCTGAATAACCAAATGCTAATCATGTACAATTCTGTGAACTATAATTTTAGGATTTAACATGCTGTTTCGAAATTTGTATTTATAGACCTTAGCTACATAAGACATAACTAAAGTTAATATATACCTATTCTTAACATAATGTGTATTACCAGTTCGAATATCATTGTCTAATAGTTTCAGGCCTCGGTTAGATCAGAATGAACAATTCGGTAAGATGCCTTATCTCAATCGAATGTACGAGTTTGGAGGACCTAAGAACTTTGCTCCTAGAAACAACATGGGCAACAAAAATTTTAGACCCAGAAATGATTTTAATGGAGTGAGACCAGATTTTAATGCAAACCGAAATGATGATTTTGGGGGGCCTAAGGAATATAGGCCAAGAAATAACTATAATAATCAAAACATGCAAAAGAATAATGAGTATGATGGAGAAAATGCTTCAGGCAGTAATAATATGCAATTTTATAATTCTAAAAATGATTTTGGGGGACCCAAACCAAGCTTCCAGAAGAATAACTTTGGACCTAAAAACTACAATAATCCAAATGGATCACCTACTAATGGCCAGCAGCAACAATATATGCAAAAGAAAGCATATAACTCGAACACCAGTGGGCAAACACAAGACTTTAATGATCGTAAACTACAAAGTCGCAAAGCTAAACACCCAGGTGATGGGTTAGTTAAGCCTGTATGGGACATGGGACAGCTTGAAGAAATTGAGAAGAATTTCTATAAACCTCATGCTAATGTAGATGCCCGTTCTGAAGAGGAAGTCCAACTATTTAGATCAACAAAAGAAATAACTGTTAGTGGTAATAATATACCTCGACCAAACCAAAAGTTTGATGAAGGTAATTTCCCTGACCACATTCTAAACACTATCAAAGAACAGGGTTATGAAGATCCTACTGGTATTCAGGCACAAGGATGGCCTATTGCTTTATCTGGTCGTGATATGGTTGGTATAGCATCTACTGGTTCAGGAAAAACCCTTGCTTATATGTTACCTGCTGCTGTTCACATTGTACATCAACAAAGGATCCAGAGAGGTGATGGTCCAATTGCCTTAATTCTGGCTCCAACAAGAGAATTAGCTCAGCAGATTCAATCTGTTGCTCAAGCTTACAGTGCACGTGGTTGCATAAGAAACACTTGTCTATTTGGTGGATCACCTAAAGGCCCACAAGCGAGAGACTTAGAAAGAGGTGTGGAAATTGTCATTGCCACTCCTGGTCGCCTTATTGACTTTTTAGAACGTGGAACCACAAACCTGCGCCGCTGCACATATTTAGTTTTGGATGAAGCTGACAGGATGTTGGATATGGGATTCGAGCCTCAAATCAGGAAAATTATTGAACAGATACGCCCTGACAGGCAAGTTTTGATGTGGTCTGCCACATGGCCTAAGGAAATCCAAGCCTTAGCCGAAGATTTCTTAACTGATTACATTAAAGTTAACATTGGCTCTCTAAACCTTTCTGCAAATAACAATATTAAACAAATTATTGAAGTATGTGAGGAACATGAGAAAGAAGCAAAACTAAGCAACCTTCTAAAAGAGATAGCCTCGGAGAAAGACAATAAGGTCATTGTTTTTGTTGAAACAAAAAAGAAAGTAAGTGTTATGTTTATGTATAGTGTTATCAAGTTCTATGTATATATTTTGATTGATTAAAATATTTAATTTCAGGTTGACGACATTGCTCGTGCTGTTCGACGTAATGGGTACAAAGCTCTAGCTATTCATGGAGACAAATCTCAACCAGAGCGTGACGCAGTGCTTACGGAGTTCCGTAATGGTTCTACGACCATATTGATTGCTACCGACGTGGCTGCTCGCGGTTTAGATGTCGAAGATGTAAAATTCGTCGTCAATTTTGACTACCCTAATTCATCTGAAGATTATATTCATAGAATCGGTAAGGGTTTCTTTGAACTTAACATTTAAATAGCTTTTGTTAAATACCTTAATAATACCTCTATATAATATATTTTGAGTTCTAGAAAAGGAAATAGTAAAACATTCAGTAAACCTGCAATCTTAATCACAGCAACATGTTATTTTCAACCAAATGTTAATTTTATATATTTATTGATTAGGTCGCACGGGGCGATGCCAGCAGTCTGGTACAGCATACACTTACTTTACTAGTGGTGACGCTCGTCAAGCTCGTGCATTAGTTGGAGTCCTAAAAGAGACTGGACAAAACCCACCCACAAAGTTAAATGATATGGCTAGAAACAATAATAACAGTTCTGGTAAGATCCATTTATATATATTTATGACTATTTTATTTACTACTTCTTTCTTCTTAGGAATTTGAAAGAAATAATATTGTTGATGATTTCAACAGGGCGTAATCGTTGGCAGCAACGGAAAGAAAACAACAGTGGATCTAGTTCACCACGCCAAAAGAGTAACCAGTGGAATAATAAAATGGCCAGTGGTGGTAGTGATGATGGTCAAAACTCTATTCAAACCCACACATTCACTCAGCAACCACCAAGATTTTCCAACCAAACTCAAAACAACCAGGGCTATAGACAGAACAATTATCAAAAAACTGTACCCTTCCCAAGTCCTAATGTTTTTGATTCAATGGGCACATATCAAGGAGGTTACAATAATGGTTATCAAAATGCCTACAATAACCAAAATGGGTATGGTCAAAGGCCATACAATAATACACGTAATAATGGACAACAATACCGCAACAATAATGCAGGAGGCAACAAATCCAGTGGATCAGGATCTTCATTTGGATCACCCCCACCTCACTATGCTGCTGCACATTACCCGCAGATGCATCCCCACCACCAAGATATGCTAGGTATGTTTTAAACTTGGTCTTTTACTTACATGTTGATTTAAATGTGTGAACTATATTATCAGTTACAGTAATTATATATTTTAAATTGATTTATAAGGTGATTAAACAATTGTTTATGAGTGGGTCACAATGTTAGCCTAGTTTATGAGGACATACATTGGAACCCCAGCTGTACACCAATAGATTTTATTTCCATGTGTGCAATAATTATAACTTGTTCAATATTGAATGAAAACTTTGAGGAAAAACTTGACAGAGTTTTTGAATTGCAGGTGGCAAGTTCTACGGCGGCGGCGTGGGTGGTGGTGGGCCATGCGGTTACCAGGCAGCGGTGGGAGGGGGCGTGCCCTACCCGCATCTGCCCCCCGGCCCGTTGTTATACGCAGCCCCCGTACAGCAGTAAACACTCTTACTAACAATTATTATTTAGTTTTTTAATTAAACATTGAGGATTCTGGTAACTTCATATTTCAAGGTTACATATTATAGTTTCGTATTAGGTATCTTAAGTTTCATATTTCTCAACTTTGCTCTTAATTGACTTAATACTTAGTTGGTTCTGAGCTCTATTGGGAAATGGGTTTTTTCAAAGATCTGAAGTTGCAAATTCTGTTTTTCGAAAATGTTCTAACTGACAAAAGTAATGACGGTATAATCTCTACGAAAGTCATACTTGAATATTGAAAATAAATGTTTGTGAATCTTTCAGATCAATTTCAATTACTAATTATTCATAATAAGTGTGTTAGTTTAAGGGATTGTTGTTTGTTAGCCATTAATTTTAGGTTCCATATTTAGCACAAAAACATTACCAAGTTTGTACTAAACCTTTAAATTTTTAAATCATTGCTTTCTTTACAATTAGTTAAAAGTTTGGATGATATTTATAATTGTTTAAATGGCTAACAAAAAACTTTCCATTGGTGGTTTTTAATGAGCAGAATGTCATTTCCACCATTTAGATGTAAATCACTATATCCACAGTTAAATTCGTCATTAAATTTGAATTATTGTAGTACATGTATTGTTAGTTCTTCTGGAAAGATTTGTTTTCAATATATGAATAATTAAATTTAATGATTATGTTTGAATGTGGTAGTATTTAGAGTAGTCGGTGTCGGTACCCTCTATGTAACCGGGTGCCTTTCGTTTTAAATGTCTGTATGATGTACGAAATGCACGAAACATATAGAAGATGAGTGAAATTATAGGGAAGGTTTGCTAACGTCGTAGTATCTGAATAATATTTTATATAAATTATTTAATTGTTAATGATGATCTTATTATCCAGTGAAAATGAGGGACAACTTAGAGTAAGAAATTTAAAATGCTTTTGATATTGCAGACAATCTGTATTGCCAGATAAAACATATTTCCTTTTTTTATGTGATATTGTCACATTGGGTCAAGATTATTTTATATGAAATTAGATCTATTGAGTATTATGCCTAGAAGTATGAGTCTACGTCGAGTTGACATAGACATTAAGGTTTTGGATTTTTAAATTCCTCATTCAAAAGGTTAGAAATGTAAATACATGCATTTAACATAGGAAGATTAATATATTTTGATCTTTATAGATGTCCGATAACAGCGGCTACATTCGTTTCTTAGAAAGATAAGTGGTTTCATTTCATCATATTGTTTTTCATTATTTTTGTAATTGTATCTCACATTTGTATCTAGTAGTTAATTGCTGGAAATTCTTTGTACGTAAAAGGGTTCTTAGAGCTAAAATGAGCGACGTCAATTGGCACAATACACAGCAGTCACTTTGCTGCAATGTTCCAGAGGCCCATTACTGTCCAAAGAGTAAAATAATCTGTGATATTTCATTACTGTAACCTATCGTTTTGTTGGTCAATTGTTAATACATAAGAACACTTCCTTAGTTCGGAAAGTGACAAAAATATATTTTTTTAACAATTTGAGCAAATTACACAAAAATTTGACTATAAAGCTTTCAAGTCATTCACAGATAATAAATAATATATGATAGGTGTAAGGTTTACTATTTTATTGTTATTCAGTTTAGTTTCACAATTTATCTAGAGGTGACAAAATTGTACCAGTTCAAAAGGGACGTAATAGTTATTATCCTAATCCCACTATAGACTACATCTCGAAGCAAAGTGATGTACGTTTAATGCACATGGGTAGTGGGGGAATTATGAGGGGTGAACACTATGTGGGCCTCGTATGGGTCATGTCGGATACGAGGTTTAATTTTATGTACATTATAAGAGAAGACTGCATTGATAGAGTATAATTATGCATAATTTCATCTCAAAGATGATCCTTCTAGCCTGTCCTGCTGTTAGTTTGTGGAAGCTGTTATACAAAGATAATTTATTGGAATTAGGGCGGTCGGGCTAGAGTAGATAGTGCGTATAATATCGGCTAGCGTGTCGTGTCGAGTACGGTCGCAGACTTGCAGGGAGCTCCTGTATTTATTATGTACAAAGTACTGACCCACCTCTACTAAACAACTGTGATAATAACACTAAGTAGCTTAACAGGCAATTTATATACTAGTTACGTCCAAGAGAAGGAATGACATCATATCTGACATATTGTATTGTGATAATAAATTTAATCAAAGACGCGTTTCAATACTCTCATCGCGTTATTGATAACTTTTCTCTAAATAAGACTGATTATGATTATTTCTATTTGAATATTTTATACTCGTTCCACTTTGACTGAGTGAAGTAAGATGTCTATTTATATTGGTAGTATCTCGTGCTGTGTGTTTTCCCTCAAATTTATTATTCACTATGTTGGATATGTGTCAAAATGTCTTTCTAAAAGGGTCACCAATTTGAATTTTAGGTATGATTTGGTTTCATAAGTAATCCCACTCTTTGTTGTGATGCTAAATATTACTTGTGTTATTTACATAGTGGCAGCGACAGAGTAACGTTACAAAATGATTTATTATTTGTTGTTAATTTGCAAAATTTTATTTATTCAACCAGAGTCGACTATTTCATAGGCATTTTGTAGTTGCTATACTAATAATTTATTTGGAAAGAAAACCATTTGACAAAAGTATAGATTTTTAAGTATGTGGCAATGCAGATCTTCATGAATTCTTAAAGAGTTTGAGACAAATTCAAACTAAAATGTTTGTATGAGAAATGGAGGAAGGATCCATACAAAACTGTCCCAAAGGGAGGTCTTCTGAATGTTTCTAAGAAGTGCATTTCTTCTATGTAATACAGTATTAAATTCCGATTAATAAATTGATGTAATTACGTTGGCATTTTATTATTTATATCCTGAGTTATTATATACATATACTGAGATATTATCTTCTGAGTACAACGCACCAGTGATAAAAGCATATTTATTTTATTAATCCTAACATTCTAACAAATTCTTAGCTTTGATTGAAACTTGTTAAAATAATATCTACTAATTTAAGTAATAGAAACAGTTTTACTACTGTATTATTTAATAGCAATTCTTTAGCATTTCTCCTTATGCCATCTATGATTTTAGTACTAAACATTTTGCCCAAGGTACACGCGACGAGTTCCTTTAGTCCGTTGGATTACCAACAGAGTTTCCAAAACCCTCAATAGATGTCGTTACGCGATTACGTCAACAGTCAAGCTTTCATATTATGGTTTTTTGACGTTTAGGTCTATGACTTGTGTCTGTCCGATAAGGTGATAAAACCTTTTTTTTAACTGTAAGATGTTATGTTACAAAAAATAAACTATATTGTGATATTGTTTTCGAGTGACGTGAAGGAATTACTATTGTATTTAGTAAAATACATACATACTGTGAACAATCCTGACAAAAACGAGGTCAACTTTTAAGGAAATCTCCAAATTGAATTGGTAATATGACTAAATCCTTATCACTAATAGTTAGTATATATCTTTCACTAATATGGCGTATCAGTTAGCGTTTTTCTAAGTGTTATTGATCTCGTACAATATTATCTCAGACATAACCAAACTTTCACAAAATTAATACACGCAGACGGCCTTGAATCTAATCTTGCCAATGTCGATAGATACACATTTTATTATTTAAGAAAAAATAAAACATCTTGGTGAGCTAAATGGCGAGTAAGGTGCTGAAGTTTACTTTCAGTAGGTTTCGTAGTCTTTAGTAAAAGCTAAACAGTAAACAGTTGCCTAGATAGGTATTGTGGCCACTACATAGTATGTACACATACTATGTAGTGGCCACAATAAAAAAAAAGTAGTAGTCACCGTCCCCTTAACATCCTTTATCCATAACATGAGTCGTAACTGCTACAAGTCGTAGATTTTCCTAACGAAAAACGTTTCAAAAGCTTGTTAATGCAAAGTCGTTGTACGTTGTGACAGATGTCTATATCGACGTAGGAAAGCACATTTGCTGTAAGTAGACATATTGCAATTGTTCACCAGAGCCAAAAAACTTTATTAATTTCGGAAAAAAATTAATAGTGTCTGACCTATCCATGATATTGCTACCATTTTTGAAACATATATTTATTTAACTGCCAGTCACCATTTGCAATGTAAACTTTTTATCCAAAGTTACTATAAGTACGTGTTTGGCTAGTTACAGCAAACAGTTTTTTAAATCACAAACCTTTAAAACGCTGTAACTAAGGAAGAAAAATGTACGCGCGGAAATATTATCAATTTACAGGCGGTAAATATGCTGTATGCAGGAAATTTATGTATTTGGGTGCTTTTAATTGCAATTCAAGATGTAAGATTAGTTTATAATTATGATTAGATCTAGAAATGCAGTGGGTCATTTGGTAATGTAATGTTTGGTTGAAATAAAATGTCGTAAATGGTAAAAAAAAAACCAAAACTGTAGGTTCCCTAAACTTGCTGTAAGTAAACGAATGTAAAAATCACACGCCGCTGAAATGCTGTAAGTAGCGTTAAGTTTTTAAATGGGAAGAAGTAAGTATTTGTAATGAAAAAAATGCAGATTTTCTTTTGCTGTAAGTGCGAAATGTCTGAAATGACTAGATTTTGGTCTACATACAGCATTTAATCTTGCTAAAAATAATATAAGTACGGGCGTTTTCAACGGCGTATGTAATTTTTTTTTCATCGTAGAGACACAGGACCCAGGTCATTCGATGCGGCTTTTTTTTCTGATTCTAATGGCAGGAAAAAGTCACTTTAGGTATTTTGTCTACTTACAGCAAATATGCTTTCCTACGTCGATATATACAAATATTATGTGGGTTAGCTATGAGCGATACAACCAGAGCGTGAATCAGTTCTAGGACCTCTGCAATTTAAGAAAGTGTATAGACGATAATGTATAAATGATTTATTCGATAATAAGATACAGTAAAATAATATTTCTTCATAAATTTTCTGAACCAAAATATGTATGCCAACTATTTGTAATTTATATACTATATAGGGT